TAAGGCTGATACGTTTGTAACCTAAGTGAAAACATATCTCGACGAGAAGCAACATTTGTTTCGGTGTCTGATGAACAGCAAACAGGACGGACCCGATAGTCACTAAGATCTGTTGTTCAACTATGGAAACCGGCAATCTAAACCCCGCAATTTGGAGTGCGGCGAACCACATAAGGCCCGCGCCAGTCAGGCGTGCTATAGTATCGGGCAACAGCAGAACTGCCTACCACCAAAGTCGGGTGGCGGTGGCGAGGCTTGAACCTCGGATCAAAGCGCGCCGGTGACAACAACTAAACCAGCGCGCCACCTCCACACGATTTGCTTATTCGATTCCTTTGAACGAAATCCATCAATCGGACGGGATTCACTTTAAAAAAGAGGGTTCCTGTGCATTCGCAAACGGATTATCGGATATGGGTTAGAGAGTATATCGGATACACCGCCAGACAGTTCACATCGGGGCTGGTTTTCCGGGTACTCATTCGCGGTAACTTAGTTTTGTTGCATATGGGCGTTTAGAGTTCCACGCACTGAATTTGGTTACATTTATCTGGCAACTCAGCTTCATCTGGTCAGCAAATGAAGAAAACATTCAGTAGGTATCCTCAATGAAGAAAACATGCGTAGAATACGATCGAAATTGATGGACGGAAAAAGCACAAAGATCAACGCACCTCGTTATTTAGGATGCTGTGGAGGGCAGACTAATCGAAAGTCAGCAGATGTCGCTTGGCGAGGTCGCCACACTACAGTCATATGAATTCAACCGTATCGTTGGGTTTGCGGATCACATGATAACAAGGTGAGAGACGAGCATCTCTACCGTGTGACTTGTTTGACGGGGTTTATATCTGTCTGGATTAACTCCTGCCGTGTTACTATGACCGGTTTATCGACCGGGTAGGCATCACATGGCCCGTTTCGATCGACGTGATCAAAGGGCTACCGTGCAACACATAATGAGAAAGTTGGGCGATGGTGGTTGGATTCGAACACACGTACTGCGGAATGAAAATCTGGTGACACTACCCCCGGGCCATCACCGCCCATCCTTGGTCTTTTTCCTGCACAGCAGTATTTCAAAGTTCCTCAATTGTCACATGTATGGTATTGACTGCTGAAATGTTATAAATGATATTGGTGAGTAAATATCATCACCATATACGTTCTACCAAACAAAGTTCGGTTTTACTCTGGAACGAATGTGCCTTTACCTAAGTTCGTTCAGTAAAGCTCTAGAGACAGGTTGAATCGAGACAAAATTCAAGACCATATTGATTCAACTGTGTAGGGTAGTTGACATCCGTGGATGTGAGATCAGACACACTGATCGCTGTCCACAGTGATGCTGTTAGATTGTTATATGGTCACAGTGCTGACGAAGGTAAACAGACAGTTAGTTCACTGTCGGTGATGCTGTATGCTACGAAGGGCATACATGAAAAAGGTTACTTAGATAGTTCATTGCGAAAAGGCGAATGGATATTGCTTCACCAAGAATGTTATCACCGATGACTCCCGAGAATACGGTGGGCTTTCGTCTGTCCGGCAATCTCTGTGTGCAGCTATAATGGTTTATAGAAATCATCACGATGTGTGTGTATTTGTGCGTGAATCTGGTCCGCCTTGGATAAGGACATCGTTGTCACTCTATTGCTACACGAGTGGCTCCTGGTTGTGCAAGACGCATCCCTAAAGAAAAGCTTCTTGTGGTATTGGAGATTCGTCTTCATGAATCCGACTTATTCTCGTCTGGGAACAGGTTTCTAAAAACTAACTGATAATCAACAGACCTGTCTGTACAGGAGATAGATCGATGAATATCAAGGGTGGAAAAGTGAAAGACCTATCAATCACAACGTGAATAGTGGGAACCAAGACGGCAACACATGGTTTTGGGAAACGGGAAAACTGGAAATGAAAACAAGCGACTCTGAGATTGCTAACTGCTCCGAAAGTGGCGTAACTTTTCTCGTGGAAATCTGGTGATACGCACATTGTACAGATCACGAGTACGATTAACAGTACAGTGTGGGGACGTTTAGGAACATTTTTTAGATGCGTGGCAGTGGATGAGCGAACACTGTTGCTTAAAGCCGTTTTAAGTCTGTTTCAGTTGATACGTCTTGTGACGACGAGGACTTGCACTCTCCTATTTTCTAGTAGACATTTAATTTCAGACTCACAAGTAACTGTGAGTTAAATGCCAAAATTGGTTCTCTAATCATTTGTGTTCTGGCTAGATCAACGCGCTTATTTTGTGCGTTTTCAGTATTTTTTTGATATAACGTTTTGATACCGACAGTGAGTATTGAATTGAAGGTCACTACAGTGTGTGACTATCAGTTGTGTCCACTCAAGCGGTGTTCAATAGTTTCCGAAATCGTAGAGAATACAGTTTGTTACACGGCTTCTCCACTCCCAGAAGAGTCAGAAACACAGGTGAGAATATTTGCTCGGTCATTAGGAGCGAATGACCATGTGGAAGGAAGCCTTGTGCCTAGTATGCGCGCATGTATGACCCACATGCAATCGACCGTTCACATCTTATAGTGTCAAGAATTCAAATTCTGCCGCAGCTCACTCGCATCAGATGTCACGTGATTGGTCAGCCTGCTATCGATGGACAGATCCGATGTGTTCACTGATCTATATTTCAAATGTTGGCCCCGTAAATCGTTTGGACACAATTACAGTCAACCCGTTCCAAGTTCAGTCACTTGTGGTCCTCCCAATCAGAGGCGTACAGGTGTAACAGCTAGTTTTGAGCAACGGTCGATTCAAACACACCCTCGCAAACAGGTGACACGCGTGGGCCCAGGAACAGCAAAAGAAAAACAAGGAAATGTAACAAGCTAGCACAACCCACGAATAAATCGACACGACAAAGAATTTGTGGTGAACTGTATCGATTCACTAATGCAAATCTAACGGTGAGTTTCTTATACTGGTGCAGAAATTTACACAACCGGTACAAACTGGCCTCATGTATCCTGATTCTAATGGTGATCAAGGTTTCTCCCGTCAAACAGACTTGTTATACGACTAAACCAAATCTGGCGAATCCCTTTAAATGATGATCGGAATAGCAGAACCGCTTATTAAAGGGTGGAAATCGGAAAGCGGTATTGGTTACCCTCATATAATCGTCCCAGAGATCGTGTACTGGGCACTTGTGACTACTACTTATGGAATGAGTTGATGGTGTATCGTGTTAACCGGAAAGTATACACACCAGAGATTAAATGCCTAAGTCATGGTTGCTGCCTTAAAACTGCCATAAAACTATCAGTCCTCATCTGAAAGCTACATAAACTAAAGTAGGCAGGTGAAAATTTAACGCTGAATCAGAATGAGATAAGTTGCCAGTTTTTATGATAAAGTTTGAACGTAGTCACGATTCATATTCGATTCTAATCAGCACGTCCGACCTGTGTTTGGGTTCGATGCTTCGGACCCTCGGAATGCTCTGGGGATGTGGCCGAGTGGCACAGATAATAGTGCATATACACCTACCCAATGACGTCATATATGCTAAGGCTTTCAAGCTTTTGCATGCTTATTCTCACTGTTCGGTCAGACGGATAGCCACAAGAGAAATATCAAATGAAAAGCACCCAACTGCAACAACCCCAGCCGAAGTTCTTTTAGGGGCATGCGTATTTGTATAGCAACGAATACGTACCAAAGCAAGCATCGTACAACCCCGTCTTTGCTCGGCCGATAATCCTACCGAGATTATTTAATGCTGCCTGAACCGTGGTGTTCGAACTGTGACAGTCCTCATTCAGCTCTTTCTTGCAACGGTAATTTATCTGCAAAAAAGCAGCAATATCATTCCAACTGTTGCAGCCAACACTCCACAACTCATGGAGGGAAGGACCTCGAGACGATGCTTTGAATGTCTCTAGCCCAATAATACACGCAAAATAACTTGATCAGTAGTACTGAGATCTATGGCCTATGGGGATTGCAGTCCCGAATACTGGATACCGATGAAACCGTGAGAAAAATCGGCGCTTCCGGGGTGTAACCTCAGAGCTCAACTTGCACGGAGCACGTTGTATAGAGGTGTGTATGCGTTCGAAATTTACGGTTCACTGCCCGCCCCACCCTCAACCCTCCAAGTGATGCAATCCAAAGTAACGGAAACGGCTGAGATATGCACATGTTCACCAAGAGACCTCTCGATTACCCGTGAGGTGATTTTGTCGAGTTCTATTTGATGACTAATAGCCCTCATAATAACCTTGTGTCGGGGGATTTCAGTGTTCAGCCCGGCTCAACAGATCCGTCTCGTTTTCCGTATAACAGAACATGCCGAAAACAAAACAAAACAAGTGAATTGACTGGAATATACTCTCTGATTCATCAGTTTCCTTTACATGATGCAAACATAAAACAGAGTGAATGTGTGTGAGAGAGAGAGCGAGATGAGGAAAGGGGAAGAAAAGGATCAAGAGATAGACAAATTTATAGGCAAACAAGGCAAGCCAATGAGATGAGATGAGAATCTTGCGAAAAGAACTATGATACACGGTTAGGTTTGCGAGTTGGGACAGGAGCGGAAAGGCGGCGGTATGCGAGGGTTGGGCAACACAAAACCCCGACCACTATGAAACGTGTCGTTCTCTCACCCGACCTGGATTGGTTCCAGATGAACGCCAAACACACACCGATGGAAATATCCATCCAATCAAATAAGACCGCCAATTCAAGCTTAGAAATCAAGAGATCAGATTTGTGCATCTACACAACGGGGTACAAATAACTGGAAATAATAATCCACTGGAGCATGGCAGGAACCGGGGTAAGAGTTGCAAGTGGCTAACTGAATGAGCAAGGCGGTGTGAGAATAAGATGTGTGGGTGGATGTAGGGAGGGAGTTGGCTCCAGAGACAGTGAAATGCGACATCATTCGTGTAATTCGATGAGAGGCTGATTCTCGTTTAGTTTGGAAGCGGAATCTGTTTGTATGTGTGTGTGGAAGCGAGGATCGCCTAGTATGCATAGCGTGGAGAGTTCGCATCCCGCGGTTTTGGCGGTGGTCCGTGACGGACCCGGGGTCCATATGGCACAACATTGCTCACAGCACTGGACGGATCTAAGCCAGATGATCGTGTAACCCCAAGTCCGAGCGCATGGTTTGTGGCGGAGGGATTTGATTTGACGGAGGATAATTTCGGACTTCGGACGGAAAGGGCGGCAGCACTGGCCGATTTCGGGTTGGAATTGAGATGTGCGTTGGACTGTGCAGCCGAGACTGCTGTGTTCGGGCGGCTGGCGGCCAAACGGGCACGAATACGAGCCTGTTCACGCATCAGTTCGTTTTGCTCCCGTTCCAACCTGAAAGTGTTAGGGCGGAAGCAGAGATACCGGGATATTTAATGCTCGATTTGTTTCCATGCGAATAGACAAACAACACGGATGAATGGAGTTCTAACGTTGGCGGAATCGGACAAAAGCTCTCTCTCTCTCTGGTTCACGATTCAAAAGAGGATATTTTCGGAATCCCCCAGAAGGACATTCAAAATCACACAGACATAATGAATCGCGACATTTTATTGACTTCAAACAATTTCCGATGTTTCAACAAAAACAAAGAAAACCCAAATGCGTCTTCAGTCAAATTGCGCGAAACGATGAAACATAGCTGTGTGAAATTTCGTAATGAGCCCGATTGGCATATGAATGATCATATCTATGCAATTGAAGAAGTGGGTTGTACATCAGACTCATATCATAAGTAATGAAGTAGTCGATCTCTATCCGCCCCCACCCCCCGCAAACAAATGTACTCTGCTTCAAAACAGTGCCCTCAAAGTAGACTGTCTAAGATGGAGAATGACTTCTGCTGTTCACCTATTTTCGAAAACACGAACCAAACCAAAAGCTGTGCGGTTGGTCATGCTTTAAAACTCGGATTCACTTAGTAGCATTGCTGGAGTTCAGAACACACAAACGCTCGAGTGCTGTCTCCTACCCCTCCCCGTCTCACCCCGTCTAATGCACCTGAAAAAAAACAAGAGGGATGCTAACAAACAAACCGGGCCAGCATATCTGCATACACGTCAATGAAAATCAATGCAAACTGTCACAAATCGGCCTACCACGACGATAACGACGACGGCGACATGAATGAATGCTCAGTGATAAACACTTTTCGCACAGGGAGACCTGATGCCGGTTGACAGGTTGAGAACAGATTTCAGATAGATAGATAAATGCCAAAAACTAAAATACACATTTTCATGCGGCTCAGTCGGTCGGTATCGGTTGGAATCTATTGTTCCTAAAAATTAGTGGAATATGCAAAAACAGTTTGATTACAGGGTGAAAGTGATGAAACCCCTGAAAACCATTCAAAGAATAACGAACATACAGAGCGCATGTTCGTTACACGGCACTTCCAGTGCATCATGTATAGGAAATTCAGGAGGATAGGCAAATTCTCAAAACTATTTGACCGCCTAAATATGTGAACTCAGGAATATGGGGGGGGGCTGGTGAGGAAGCACGGATTCTATCGTAGATATGCATACAAAATCTTGGTTAATGAGTTACATCTAAACTCGAAATATCTACCAGTAAAACATGTCACTTTGTTCTCCATGACGTGATCCGGACCCCAATGGTCGGATTTCGAATCGTGCTATCGATACCCAACAACAATGGTGATAGACATCATTCACCGAATTCCAAACGCAACGCCAAGGCACCGTATTGTTAGGGATCCAATACAGGAGATCAGAACACGCGATTTAATGAATGATCGTGAGATTTTATCAATCGATTTAACGACGGCCTGAAACTAGGTCAAGTTGGTTCAGGGACAAATTTGCCTAGAAGGATATTGGTCAATGTTTGTCATGACCAAGTGTATCACGTGATTGGATCACCGATAGGTATTGATGGACGAATTTGTGCGTAGCAGAAGCAAAGATATTCCCGCGCACAAGCCTGTTGTACACCGACACATAAAACGTGACAAAAATATCCAATTGAGGTATTCTGCGAATGAGAAGACCAGAACTGTAAGACAAACAACAAAGATCAAGCCTTGAACTGTACGGTCACTTCGGGAGCTCAAATCGCTCACTTTTCCCTGGAGCGACTGCCGTGAAAGGTGCTTGTAGCGATATTGATTTGATGGGAAGGAAAGGGAGAACGAGCCTAACGAAACGACAGTTTTGCACATTATAGATAAACTGCTCCTTCCCTATATGATAGGATTTGATCATGGGTTTTTCTTACATATTATATCTGAAAGTTGATGATTGCGATTAGATTCCCACCAATCTAACTGATCCGGAAATTTCATGTCTCGGGAGATAAGCTATCATTTTCAAACACCGAGATGAGCAAACAATAACAGCAATTGTTGAACAATTTACGCGTTTGAATACAACCTATCAGTTCGCAATAGTGACCCATTATATCTTTCAATGAAAGTTAACTGGGGAAAAAAGATGAATTACTTTGCCATTGCATCATCCAATTCCTCGAATGTGGTCGTAGCCGTCGTAGTCACCGCGGCTGAGGGGCCTGAGGTTCTGACCAGCTGCGAATCGCTGGCGGGTTTTCGATTTTGTGCCAGGAGACGAGTTGTACTGGTCACACCATTACTGTTCACCCCGTGTAACGAGGCCTCGGTTCTGGCTCGACTGGTAGAATTAAGCATAGACGACTTTCTGGTGCTCGTGTGCTGAGCCGGAACAATTGACCCCGACGGTTTGGTTCGTATCTGTTCCAACAGCTGTCGCAAATGAGCTAATTCCGCCTCCTGTTGACTGAGGCGATTGGCCGCACGAGCCGCATCCTCTCGGGACAGTTGTAACTGTTGTCGCAATCGAACCACTTCTGATTGAAGATACTCCGGTGACGGCATCGGG